GCGAAGCATGCATCAGCCACACAGCGGATGGACAGCGCGCGATAATGAGGATGCAGAGGTACGACCTCTGTATGACAACAGCCGCAAACGGTTCTTTCGTACATAACGGCGGAGAGAACGTTCATAGGAGAGCGAAACGCGGTTTTAATGGTTTTAATTGCGTTAACGGGCCATCTGCCCCCCAATTTCGCACCACTGCTACGTGAGGACCACTGCCTTGGTCAGAAGCAGAACAGCGAGCGTTGCGATTCGCAGGTTGGCGGCTTTCACCGGTCGCTCGAGTCTTCATTCGACGACGGCTTGCAGTTGAATCGTATGCCAGTGTGTCATGTGCCGCTGGCGTCCAGCCTGGCCTGCTCAACTTGTCGACAGCTGACGATGATGTTTCAGAACCACCTGGTCATGAGCCATAGCAGATCATTCGTTACCGGTTATCAAGAGGTCCGCGAGTGACTGCAGGCCTTGGTGAAGAGCTTTTTAACTTTTAAGACTCAACCGGCGACAGATGATCGGCGTACGGTCGGTAGTACGGCTTGGTCGACGCCTGCGTCGTTGTCGTTGTCGTCGTCGTCGTATCTTTGGTCGGCCAATCAGAATACAGTTACCGAAGCACTTGTGGACGATACCGTGATGGAATGCAAGACGCACGGCGGCGATTCGCAGACGAGTTTTGGCGACAGAACAGCATTCTGCGAGACATGTAACAAGCAGTTCTGCAATAAGTTCTTTCTGAAGATTCACAAGACGAACCAGTATCGCGATGTCCATGACCAATTAGCGTACAGTGAGCTGTGTCACCCAAGGCCAAACGCGAGCAGCACTTCGGTTTCTTACGGAAAGTCAATGGTATTGCAGGAAGCAGTTGCGGAAAGTAACAATCGTGGCACGCTGTTCCCACCTCTTCTGCCGCGATTCCGTACGGGAGTCTGCGAGGCCCAGAAGAACGGCAGCGATCATTGCTATGGCAATTCAATGATAGCATCGGCAGAGAAGACGCACAGCGCTGTCGACGTTTGTTCTAGAGGCATGCTCGAGAACCGTCAGGTCATTTGTTCCGGTTTCACTTCAACAGCGGAGTCTGGCGATGCTCATACAGACTGTTTGCAGACAGCGCAGCGACCAAGGTTGGGCGGTGTGTCGTGGTATGATCGCGCGCAGATGTCGTGCCCCACGATGTCAACGTTGATCACCCATCAATACCCGGATTACGTCGCTTGCGAAAAATCAGAGGAGCTTGTCCGTGAGCCATCCTCAACAGCAGTCACTCCAGAAGAGTCACTCAGCGCTTCCGTCAGCGTCACCAACCCGTCATTACTGTGCAACGTTTGCATAACGCAATTTTCCTTGTGCTCCTTACTAATTTGTTTCACGTTCATGGAATAGTCACTGACCATAACTCCTTGTCGCAGTCAACGACGCAGCACGGCTCGTCCGACAGACCTCGAAATGACGCGAAAAGGTTGTGCGAAATATGCAGGAAGTTACTGTGCAACAAATACTTTCTCCGCATTCACATGCTCAGGATGCACGGGGTGACAGTGGAGAAAAGCGGCCTCGCCTGTGGTTTCGCGGAAGCATCCCGTGAAACCGACCAACGCTGCCTAAAATCCGCTTCTTGTCACCAGAGAATCGAAGAGAAGGCATCAAACGCGAATAGCACATCCATTGCCAGTGCGTCTGCCATTAACAGCACCAAGAACTCGTCGACATTCAAGGAAGTTGCGTGCCTGCGTCGGTACCTGCGAAACCTCAGAGGAATCAAGCGTGAGGCCAACAGAAACGTCGCTGGTTCAGTTTCGACCAAAAACAACCAAACAGGAACAGGCATAGGAATCGACCAACGCTGAAACAAGGAAAGCAGGCATCATCGCAAACTCGGTCAGTTCAGAAGTTAGTCGTTCAGAGAACGACCATGCAGACAGAAACTGAAGCAATCAACTGAACTTTTATCTGTCCGTTGAAATATTGCAATCACAACCGTGCTAAGTACTCCATGCCTTCAAAACTTGTCGAAGAAACGCTTAACGAAATGTATCTTCTCCGAGTTAATTTCAAGAGGCAGTGAGATAAATTGATAACTCATAATCACCCAAACATTC